AAATTTGGTGGCAACGTACCATTGAATTGATTACCGGATATGTCGATGATTTGCAACTTAGAAAACTGGGTTTGCTCTATTGGTCCATAAAATGCATTGGAGCGAAGGACTAGAACTTGTAGCTCTTCTAGAGAACTCAACCAGAAAGGAAACGTATCATTGATTCTGTTGCTCTCCACATTCAGAACTTCAAGAGAAGATATATGAATCAACGATCTTGGAAGCTTTCCTACTAGTTGGTTATAGCCGACGTCAAGGGAAATTAGACTTTCAAATAAATTCTTTGGAAGACCTCCACTAAGACGATTATTTCGAAGATTTAGAGCTTGAATATATGGAGCTTGAAGATATCCCGTACAACTAGGGATTGAACCATTGAATTTGTTGTTAGACAAATCAAGAGTGCTGAGATAAGGCAACTCACATATTAGAGATGGAATCTTGCCCGTGAAATTGTTGTTGGAGCCAAAAAACTTGCTTATAGTTGGTTCTTGGACAGAGGAGAGTCCAAGTTTAGTTATTCTTTCGAAACCGATGAAAGTGTTGTTGGAAAGATTCACGTACTGCAAAACAGGGAGAAACCATAACCATCCAGGCACTTGACCTTTGATCTTGTTGTTGGAAATTTCTAGAGTCACCATAAGCTTTTGGGTTCTTAGGAACTCTGGAACCTCGGTGATACCGCATCCCGACAAGTACAACTGACTTATCAATAACAATGAAGAATCAGAAAGGGACCTCTTGTTTGTAGTAGAAACATGGTTGCCTGAGAGATCCAGTGAATCTAGTAACTGAAAACTTGATAAGATTGCATTCAAGTCAATCGTAGTGGTGGTGTTCAAATGGGAGAGGTAGAGATGTTCGAGCGACTTAAGCTGCGAGAAGATAGTAAAGTCAACTAAGCCTTGGGTGTTGCAATGGGAAATGTCAAGCTCCTTAAGGTTAACTAATTTGGAAATAGATTTATGGATTGGCCCTCTAAAGTTGTTATTGCCAAGGCGTAAGACTGTTAGATTAGATGATAAAGATATATTCCCAAACTCAAGAGTGCCGTTGAGTTGGTTATTTACCAAACTAATAGTTTCTAAAGAAGGAATGGTGAAGAGAGAAGAAGGGAGAGTTCCAGTGAAATCATTTTCTGTTGCATCAAACAACTCCAAGTTGGTGAGTGAGCTCATGTTAGAAGGAAGAGTGCCACTAAAATGATTGTAAATAAGAGATAATTTTGACAGTTTTGTTAGGTTTAGTAGTGCAAGGGGGAGGCTACCACTAAGGCTGTTGTAATCAACGACGAATATGGCTAATTCGTTTAAATTACCAAAAGAAGATGGGATTTCACCAACAAAATTGTTAACGGAGAGGACAAGATATGAGAGATGAGAAAGGTTTCCAAGTGAAGATGGAATTTTACCAAAAAAATTGTTATGATGGAAGTTGAGAGAGGTGAGATGCGTAAGATTTCCAAGTGGAGATGGGATTTCACCCGAAAAACGGTTACGATCTAGGATGAGAAAGGTGAGATGAAAAAGACTTCCAAGTGAAGAAGGGAGTTCACCATCCAAACTGTTACGAGTGAGGCAGAGATTGGTAAGACTAGAAAGATTTCCAATCGAAGAAGGAATCCAACCACTGAAATTGTTATAAGAGAGGTTGAAAGATGTGAGATGCGAAAGATGTCCAAGTGAAGATGGGATTTGACCACTAAAATTGTTATGAGAGAAGTCAAGAAAGGTGAGATGAGAAAGGTTTCCAAGTGAAGAAGGGATCTTACCACTGAAATGATTTCTTGAAATGTCGAAAGTGGTGAGATTAGAGAGGGTTTCAAGTGAAGATGGGATTTGACCAATAAAATCATTATTAGAAAGGTCAAGAGTGGTTAGAGAACGAAGTTGTGGAAGACTAAAAAGACTACTATTGGAATTGAGCTGGCCACTAAGGCAACTAAAGCTAAGATCTAGCTCGATCACATCCCCGAACTTGGCATCACATTTGATACCGTCCCAATAACAACAATCGCTGTTATTCGTCCATGAATCCGTCTTCGGAGGAATGCTGTCAAAACAAGAGGCCTCCAAAGTTTCAAACTCGTTCTTGAACTCGAGAATTGCATCCCTTTGATCAGGATTACACAAGTGTCTAGTAGGAGCCGCAAACAAGTCAAGAAAATAAAAAATGAAAATGATGAGAAAAGAAAGAGTAATAGAGCCTTTCATCTTTTTTTCTAGGTGTTTTTTTTTTCTTACTTTCTTGAATATCAATAATGAAAACCAAGAAATGGAAATTGTGATGATAACATGGTTTCATATTCAAGTCATTTATATACAGAATAGAGATAAACCAGTCTTTCTACCAAGTCTTCTTCACGTTGGACGCATTGTGTAAAAGTCTCTACCATTTTTATTCATTGAGGCCAAACTAGCTACTAAAAGAGGATGAAACAAAAAAAGGAGAACTCGTGTGGACTTTGTTGGTAATGATCCAAATTTTATATTTTTCCTGAAGAACAGTCCAGAGCCATATGAAATTTGCCACCACATTAGAGACCCTTCTGAAATCTCCACCACATTTTTTTTATCCAAAGGTCGTTGTAGCATTAAAACAAGACAGGGATAGATACTATTATCAATTGATTTTTGTTTGGATAATATCGTTTTCTTTGATTTTAGTGGTTTTATATATCCTTTATTGACTTATATCTAGATGAGCCAGTGAAACTGTTCAAGACTGATAGAGTAATAATAAGACTGATAGAGTAATAATGTAATATCGTAGATTAATTTGGGTCTTCGTTTGTTATTAAAAAGAAAACCTTAACTTCTTTTTTTAGTTAATGCAAATAACGTTGCAGCTTTGAATCAGTCAAGGTTCAAAGCTGTTATTATTTTGTTCATCTGTTATTATTTTGTCTTTTTTTAAAAAAAATGTTAAGGTTCTAAAGTTTTATATTTTGGCCATATTTCTTAGGCAAGTAAAAAAGAAGTAAAAGTAATGTTCAATGTTGTAGACTTTAGCCTTTAGGGCATAATAAGTTTGCTTCCTATCCAAGCTACTATTCTATATCTTCTTCAAAGTTGAAGATACTCTGTTTTTTTTTCTCATGGAATATTCTTCACCAGTTTTGTAATCCATTATTGTTTTTACCAGAAAATACTAAAAATCCTATATGTATAACAACATATTAGTCTCTACGTACATGATCAGTGGCAGATCAAGAAATTAATTTTACCCGGGGTAATGTAAAACTAAAAATCACAAAATAAGAACAAAATGTGATATAACGTAGTGTTATACTGTTATTAAAAAAATATGGGCTTATTAACAAAAAGATATAAATAAATTGGGCTTTTGTCTTGTATTTTTATAAAATATATTTTCAATTTTACTATATATAATTACATAAAAGTATATAATGCAAAAGACAAAAGTGGACAATATACATACATTTTAAATTTTGATAAATCTTTAATGGTATCAAATTAAATAAACATTATATATTATTTCGCATAGAATACGGAATACCCTTTCAATTTGAAGCTTTATTTAACGACTACTTGGCGACTCGTATTGTAGTCGAAAAAACCATGTTTCTTGTAGTATATCTTATTGAGTAATATCATTATCTATGCTCAGAAGACCAAAATATTAAGTATTCATCCATGCTTTTTTATTAATTAAGTAGATAAGAGAGAGAGAATGATATTTTTACTATTTTACCCTTTTTCTACACACCTAATTATCTGTTTTTCTTCCAAATCCTCCTTTTTCCAAATCTTCTTCTTTCTTTGTCGTCACCTTTTTTTCTTCACAAACAGATTTTATATCTAACTCTTCATTTGGTTCATCAAATTCATCTTTTTGATATGTAACATACAATCATCACTAAATAATTCACAAAAATAGAGAGAATCTACACGAATTTGGGATGGATTAAACTTTTAATTTGAAGAATTTGGGATGAAAATTATGGTTTGGTAATTTAAAATGAAGATGGAGAGGACGAAGATAAAGGAAATAAGGAGGAGAGAAGAAGAAGAGAAAGTGGTGAAGTGATCATGGGATGGAGTTGCATGTGACAATGGAAGAAGAAGAAAATTTGGGAAAATGACGACAGAGGAGGGTACTCTGAGAAGAGAAGGAGATTTTATTATTTTTTACGTCCACGATAACACATAAGTTAACCGTGATAAACAAATTATCATGATAAATAAATATGCTAATGCATAAGTTAACTGTGATAAACAAATTATCATGATAAATAAATCTGCTAATGTATAAGTTAGCGGTAATAAATAAATTATTAAAATAAATAAACATGTTATTATATAAGTTAGTTGATAAAAATCATATGATAAATATTTTAGTACGATAAATATAAGTTAACCATATAACTTTTAAAGTTACCGTGATACAATATAATTTATCTTGTTATTATTTTTGTTAGCACTCACAAATAACTGAGGGTAGTTTGGGTATTAATTGGGTCAAAGGAAAAAGAACTAATTAAAAAATAAGTAGGGATAGATTTTTAATTTTTTAGTCTTCTATACATATCAATTAATATAACTCTATCTTATTCTAACTTGAAACACCCTGCCCTAGAAATAAACCATAACGATTTTTAACTTAAAAAACATTAAGATATAAAACCTTGTTAAGAAGATAAAGTAATGAGAAAAATATAAACCAAAATTTCATTAGCATGCACACCAATAGCATAAAATTTACGGAAGACTACACTACCGTCTCATAATCATAACTTAAAATATTATCTTAAAAATTCAACATCCCGATGGTATCGTGATCAACTCTTTACGATTAGTTGGGTCATATGTAGTTTCCGGATAGGAGCAATCGACGATATGAAAGTGGATCAAGTTCACCACCGCATTTGGGGACGAGTCAGACTTCCATGCCTCAGATTTTGGCTAACCATGTGCGGTACTACAAGGGATTCAACTTCCGTCCCCCATCCGGAAAAGATGTTGGGAAACGATGATTTGTGACACCAAGCAAATATGCCCTCTGCCATAAGGCTTGGGACGCAATTTATGTCCAAAGGCTCGATCAATGGTTCACAGGATTCTACAAACACACTATGTATCACATTTTGCTACGTTCATCGATACGAGAGCCGAGATATCGGTTTCCAGTGGCGGAGGCACGTTGAAGTTAGTGGGTGCATTTGACACCATTAAAATTTGTAAAAACGTTTTAATTATATTAAAATTTTAATATATATCAGTTTCATTATGAAGCTTGAACCCAACCCAATTTTTAGAACCCAATTCATTTGTAAGTTTGAACCCATTATATGTATAAATATTCAATCCAAATACCCAATTCAGTTTTGACCCAATTCAAATAATAAAAGCAAACAAGCCCATTTATTCAAATTATAGAGTCCATTAACTTTAATCAAACTCTGAAGCAATAAAATAACCCAATAATGAATATGTCCTTTAATTGACGTTTGGTTTTCTCGAAAAAAATCACTTCACGACGTCTTCATCTTCACCTTCTTTCTTGCTTCTGGAAGAAACTGTTGTTGTCAAATTTCAATTTTAAGTAACAAATTTTCAGTCTTTCATACATTAAAATTGTTTGATTTTTGCTTTTTGACAATCACTTAGCTTATAGTATGATCTGTTGCCAATTGCTATCTGTTGACAATCATTAAAATTGTGTGAGCGTAGGATACATCTTTAAGATGGAGGTCTTTGATATATCGGCATTGTAATGAATTTTCTTTGGATGTTATTTATAGTTACAGTTTTTATCAGGTTGTAAATTTTTTTGAACAAACTTATTTTGACACCATCAAACAATTTTCCTAGATCCGCCACTGTCGGTTTCCAAGAGTGGTTTTAGACCTTAGATCGGAGCACAGCATCCGCGCACACACCGTCTTCGTGGAGGAGGATGCCGGCCATTCGTTTGCATGTTCCTTGACACTTTTTGTATCGGGGTTTTGTGATATCCAGAAACTACGCACTCGACCAGACCGAGATAGATCTCCAGACCGAGATAGTATGGAAAAACAGCCTACCTACGGAAACCTTGTTACAACGTCTCCTTCCTTTAAATGATAAGGTTTATAAGTGGATTTCTCGTGACGTCGCGGGCGGTGAACCGCTCACGTCGCCGCGATCTGAACACTACACAATATCATTCAATCGATATGAGAGACGGGTGGTGTATACAAATGGCAAGGATGTAGTACTCAACGCAATCTAATGACTCGCGTTTACTAGGAATTCCTCGTTGAAAAGCAACAATTATAGTGATCTATCGGTTAAAGTGTGAAATCGTTTTACATCAGTGTAGCGGACATGCGACCCATAACATCTAAGGGCATTACAGACCTGTTATTGCGTCAAACTTCCTTGGCCTAAGAACGAGATGTGGTTTGATAATTAGTGGGAGCTCATAAATCTTCTACAATCGTATTATAAATTATGACTTTCATATCACATAAACTAGAACATTTTGACTATATACTTCCATCACGACTTTTAATTGTAAGCCAGTACGTAACTTGGTTTCATGTTCATCTCTTTCTATACATAACTTGATAAACTCAATCAGCTTGACTAGTCTTTCTACGAAGTCTTCTTCACGCTGGATACATTGAGTAAAAGTCGTTTAATATCTCTTCTTCTGAAATTTCCACCGCATTAATATATTATCAATTAATTGATTTCAGTGGCGATGATGCTTTCTTTATCAAGGAGTCCACATGATTGGATTGACAACCTAACTAATCCATATTCATGTCATGACAATAAATTTTTTAAATTACAAACTAATAGTCTAGCTGTCTAACTCTCTTCACTGATGGTGATTGATTTGTTTTTTTCTTTCCTTTGTTTATGAACCAATCACAGGAATCCAATTTTATTTATTTATAACTAGGGTATGATCTACGGTACACCGCGGGATAATGTCTTTTTAATATAATACAATCTCAGAAATCTCATTTTTCTGTGAGGTAGAAAATTTGATTTCAACGGTCCATATATTTTCTTTTCTTTTTTTTGTTGCCTATAACTTTTTTTTTTAAAAAGTCAAAGATTGATTGGTTTATTATATAGCTGTGGATTTAAAAATGAATTTTGTGCAAAAAAACTCCCGAATTCGTCCATTTTTGCAACTTTATCCTCTACCTCCGAAAAATATAGAATAATCCTATGAAGTCAAAAATAATACGTAATATAGCCCTTATACACATATTGTAAACGTATTCACGATCACATACATTTGGTTTTTAAAAATTTAAAGGTAGAGTTGAACTCCTCGTCTCGAGTGCTTCGATTTGATATATTACTTATCAAATCTTTAAAAACTTAACAATAGCAAAAAAGGGCTATATTGCGTATTATTTTTGACTTCGTATGATTATTCTGCATTTTTCGGAGATGGAGGATAAAGTTGCAAAAATGGACGACTTTGGGAGTTTTTTTTTTTGCATAAAACCCTTTAAAAATTGGTCCAATACTGGGCAGGGAACTTTTATTTACCTTTTGATTAGCGCCTAACGAATTTCTGAACAAAAAATATATATATATCCGCTAGTAGCTTCATCTGACCGCCGCTCACCTCACGCTGCAGCCACATACAATTAAACATAACACCGTTAATACAAGTTTCCAATTTTATGAGTAATTAGGGTTTCGATACTTCCTTTTGCAGATTCTTTTTTTTGGCAAAATTTTGTCCTTAGTCAAATAATTTGATGGGTTACTTAAGTACGTACATTTTCCTTATTTCTTAAACCTCTTTAATTATATATATATGAGAAAGAGATTAACATACGTGTTGCACCTGGTGGTGATCCTGATTTGGGTATTGTAAGGTATTTTGACTCCGCATCTCCTAGGAATCGCAGCAGCACGGTCAGCGTTGAGAGCGGGGCCAACGGCTCTAGCGGCATTTTTAATGCAACGGCAAGCTTGCCGACGGTCTAGTGTTGTAAGGACCATGCCGTTAAGCTTTCTAACGCCGTTGCAGCACTGTGGGCCTGGGCTTGATATACCACCATTGGTCAAGTAGCCCGTGCACGGTTTCAAATTGCTGTTAACTTCGCCACAGCTCAGAGCCGCCTTTGCTGTGATTGGACCCGCCGCAATCATGTAGATGAAGACCAAGCATTCCAACTTCATAAGACCAGCCATATATATCTATAAGCTAGTTCGGGTTTTTTTGTATGTTTCCAAAAGGAGATGGGTGATGAAGAGTTTATATAGAGAAGAAATTGTATCTGAAGAAAGGTTGATGTGAGACTATAGAAGAAAGGAGTAGTTGGTTGTTACTCTCATTTAATTTGAGGTCCTCCCACTATATTGATGGATATTTCAATTTAACTTCTATATTTTCGAAAAGTGATAAATTTATCAATATATATTTTATTAATATTTGTTCTCCTTTAAATGAAAAAAAAAAACATTTGTTCTCCTTTTTGGCATCCTATTTTTCTTTCGAATACTTTTATTTGCATCTATTACATTATCATCAAGGATATTTAACTTAATACTATTATTATAATTTTTATCTATTTATAGCGTATGTGATTAAGATTAATAGTTTCCACGAACAACAGTTCTATCATGCAGCTCTCCCGTACATTTGGATCTACGACCGATGTTGGTTCTGCATGTATGATATCCTTGAGATGGACCATCCTACATGCATCATTCTAGGACGTTCGATAAATTTTGCATCCAATAATTTACAAGAAACTGCACTATTTGGTAATCGAATTCTAAATATGGTGTAAAAACCTTTGAACCTTGTCCATTGTGTTAGAAGGCTTCCACAAAAGACTTAGATATATTGATAACTGAATAGTTATTTTTAATAGAAAGTCAAGTCCGATTGGTAACATAAAAACAATAGAAATTTATTTATCTAAAAGTTGAAGCTATTTGCCTCTCAAATTGTTCACTTATAATTTTATACAAATAATAATATCATTTCGCAACAACATTCTCAAAAAATCGACGGTTAGACTAGGAAATTCGAAAGTAGTGTTGTTCATAGCAAAAAGTTTAGCACTGAGAAAAATTTGTCATGATTTTCTTTTAACAAAAATAAAAATTATCCTAAAATTAGATTAGGTAATTTCTAAGCTATGAGGAAATGATCTCATTTTATATTATTACATATAAACTTATGATGAAAATAGAATATTGATAGATCAGACATATTATTATTTGTGAGAGAGGTCTTATAGGTGTTCAATATATTTATTAAACTTGTGGTGCGTAATTATGTCTCTTTCTTACATGTCTCACTAAAACTATATCCCATTTAGTTATAAGTCACTAATGACTTAATTGGATGTGGCATTGGAGTCTTTCCAAAACCATATTTTGGTCTACAGCTCTAACTCCATAACAATCCTGCTTTACACATAATTTTTCAAGTCTACAACTATTTTCATGTTTCTTTGTATATATTTTTGGGTTGTACAAACGTAAATTAAAAATACCTACAACCATAAATTTTGGGTTGTGGAAAGTTAGCATATTTTTGACAAAATTTATTAAAAGAACAATTTGACAACAAAAATAAAAAAGGAGTTAATAACCAATATATCTTTCCTATAATAAAAACACCAAATTGAAAATTAATAAATGATGGAAAACCTACCAAATCAAAATTTGGAAGGTCTTTGATCAAGTTGTCTAGGGTCTAAAGACTTAATTAAGTAAAAGCACATAATATTAACATAGGATTATACTAGCCAATCTGAATATTCCACGTCAGCATACTAAAATAACATTAAAGGGATTAGAAAAGTTTTTTCAATCCTAATGTAGTTAATAGGATTTTTTTTAGAAAATAAGTTATTTTCATGATTTTATTTTAACAAATAAAAATTACCCGTCAACCCTTCTTAGGTCTCTGTCTCATTTATTAATAGTCATCTATAATCCTATACTATTATTTGGGGAGTACACTTTATAAGATACCCTTAACTAACCTTCCCTTTTGTAAGAATTTACTTAAGAATGCCATTACAAAAATCATCTTTTAGAACAAATTTCATTCAATTTATTAAGGATAAACAAGTAAAATACTAATTTATGTCATTTAATTAATTTAATTAAATTATAAAACGAAAATCTGTTATTATTATTATTTTTTAAATGACC